AAACAAGACAATCAGGAAGCATGTTCCCTTAGATGATCAGCAGTTCAAAAACTCATTTTTATAGAATAAATATTAATTATAGGTTGCATAATAATTATTCAAATAATATTTAGAACTGAAGAGTTTTTTTAAAGAAGTCTTCACTAAAAGATTGTGTCATAAAGTTAAAAACAAATTTGTGTGGTTAATTATAGGGCAACGCAATGGTTTTATATTGTAAAAAAATCCAATCAAAGCTAATTTTTTGTAGTGCAAAAGCAACTAAATGTTGTTAAACTGAGTTAGATGAGAATAGATGTTTAAACGAAACAGAAGCATTAAAATTGAGTAAAAGCCAGCTGAAGCATGAAGCGGAGCTGYGAGGAGTCTGTTGCACAAACAGGCCGCAGGAATAAACAGTTTACAGAGACACACGTGGGCCTGGGCGGGAAAATCCCCGTGGTTTCTAAACAGGATAACAGAATCCTGAATCCTGACTTAGCTGCTCTCCTGATGATCAAGGTGTACGATCAGCCCTCAGATTGCCATCATGGCGGGGATCAATTACAGCCCAGATAGCATCAGCTGAGGCGCCCGGCCTGTGGAGCGCTCCATGGCTGAGTAAACAAAATTACATTTCCCGCTAAATGCTCCACTAATCTACATTAGGGTTCAAATAAAAAATGCTTTCATATGAAAAGAGCTCCCCCCATTCCCATTAAAAGCCAAACTGAGCCTCCTTCACCTTATTTAATAATCCAAGAATAGAAGCACATAAACATCAACAAAATCCACCTTAAAACCATTTTTTTAAATCTTATTTTTCAGTCCAATCAGAACCCGTTTAAATGAATCTGGAACAACACATGGCATCAAACACAGCCTTTATTTTTGGAATATTTACAAGGAAATTATAAAAATATATAATTAAAGCTTTGGCATATATTTATATATTTTTTTTTACAGTTTGACAATTTATAGCTATTTGTTCGCGTAGATCCTGGCCACAAATTCAAATAATATAATAAAAGGCGAATTATCTGGCTCTATAATAAAACATGGAGCAAATTTACAAAAAAAAAAAAAAGGTTTTGTTTTGTTTTATGTTTTTTTTTTAAATCTTGCATCCCTTTTTAGTAACCAATAGGAATTCTTTTAGAAATAAAAAGCAAACAAATGAGTTGGAGGAGGGAAACCAGCTTTACATTCAAACGGCCACGAAGACCCCGCACATCTGAGATGTTTGAGTCCCAAAGCAGCTGTTAGTGAGCACACTTACTGTTGGAATGAGTTCTGCTAAATGTGTCTGGTTTATTAAGGTGGGATAAGTCCACGTTAGGATGATGAGGTAGTGAGACTGAGTCCGTGCACACTGTTCAAGTCTTCATGCTGCTGCTGCTGTTTGCTCAGGGGGCTGGGGGGTTTTCTGTCTCCTGTCAGCAAGAAACCACGCACAAAAAATAGGTCTTACTCCAAGAAATGAAGATATAAGTTKAAATAGTTATTCACATGTTGGAACAGAATTATTAAAACAAGTTAAAATTCAAGAAAAACACATATTACAGCGTAGTGTCTTTAAATTTGCGTGCGTAAAAGG